CTGAGGTGGTGGGGTCGGGACGTCGCATGTCGCAGCGCATTTTTGGGGTGCTGCAGCCTCCCCTGAGCACGCCCCCCCTGCCCTCCCCCCCGGAGCACCAGCCGGACAAGTCGGGTTTGCACGCCAATGCTCTGTCGAACTCCGAACGCGTTTCGGCACTGCCAGTGCCGCCGCGCCCCCGCGCCAGTGCCACCGACTCGGGTGACGGCTCGGGGCTGTCGACTCCGGTGATGGCTTGGGCCAACGAGGGGGAGGGAATGATGAGGAGACACAGGAGAAGGTGTTAGGAGGAGGTGGACGAGGGGACAGGAGGCGATGGCGGAGTGTTGTTCGCATTGCGGCCTTTGCTCGTGGATGTTCTTCGACATCTAGGTTTTCGAGCAGCTCCGCTTCGACTGGAAAAGCGTGCAATACTACATAAATCGTGCCATCTACAGTGTACGGTCTTCGTTGTGCAACGCAGACATGGTACGCATAAGATCCTCTTTCCCTCCTCTCTTCAGTGGGACCGCCAAGGGGGTGGTCTCAACGGCCCACTTGGAAGCGGACGATTAAAACAGTATTCCCAGTGTGTCGTCGTCGTCGTCGTCCTCGTCACCGTTGTAGCCAGCTATCTTGTCAATCGTGCCTGCCCAAATTTGTTTGTCCCGTCGCCCAGTCGCACTGCCCCGCCCGGGGGGGGGCAGTTTTTCGTCTTGGATTTATTTTTGGTGGTCCCGTGGCCCGACGGTGGCTCCCGGAGGCCGAAGCAGAGGGGCGGGGACCCGAAGGCGGCTTCCAGAGGCCAACTCGTATGGAACAGGCGCGCACACGGGGAAACACACACACACACACTCACGCTCACGCTCACGCTTTCGCACTCACGCTCACGCTTTTGAGCCAGCGGCGCAGAGGGTCCTCGCGCGCGAGCAGCAGATATCGTGATCGATCTTAGTCGAAGGCGCAGCGTACGACACACTCACGCACATTCGCACACATACGCATACAAGTACACATACACATACACATACGCATATACATGCGCATGCGCATACGCATCTACATACACATACACATACACGTACGCATTCGCAAACGCATACACATACTCATACACATACACATACACATACACATACACATACACATGCACATACACCGACGCATCCACACATACACATACGCATACGCATACGCATACGCATACGCATACGCATACGCATTTGCATACGTACACGCACACGCACACGCATACGCATACGCACACGCATACAAACGGACATGGACACGGTCGGAGATGTGGGGAGGATAGTCGGCGGCGAGCCCTGGGATGAAGTCGGTTCTCGGCCGCTTCCGGGCGCTTTCGTCGGTTCTCGGCGGTCTTCCAGCCGCGGGATGCGCTCCAGCGGCTGCGCCTCGCCGAGAGTGTGCGCGGGGTGCCTGGATCGTCCCGAACGGCCACGGGAGAGGCGAGGTGTGACCCAAAAGCCACCAGGCGCCCGAGAGGGGGCAGGCCTTCTCAGCAGGCGGCGGGGCTTCTCTCAGAACCCCCCCCCCGCGCCTGAAGAACGCCCGGCATGCCCCTGAGATCCTGGCGACTCATTTTTTTCGAGCCGGGCGGTTTTTTTTTTCGGGCCCCGGGACCCTCACAGATCGGCCCGGCTCGAACACTGACGCAGAGAGATGGGGTCCTGGGCTGAGCGGTCGTGATTTCTCGAGATGTTGCTTTTGTGGTTTGCAGCGGCGGATCTCGGCAGGCGGCGGCGCTTTTCTCAGAAGCCCCCCCCGCGCCTGACGAACGTCCGGCATGCAGCAGTTGCCACGCCTGGCTCTCCCGGGGTTCGCCACCCAGGAACGGGGGGGTAGCCTAATCATCCGGCGCTCGAATTGACGATCGAACAACACACACCCATACCCATAGGGGAATCATTGGGAGGAGGACTGGCTATGGATATGGGTGCGGGTTGTCGGAAGCTGGGGGACGCTCCCGTTCGAGCGGGGACCCCCATCTGACAACACGCACCCATAGCCCTCGCCGACACCCCCTATGGATATGGGTGTGTGATGCTCATTCGTCACTAACTAACCCAGAGAAGTCTATGGTTTTGCCCCCCCCCCCCCTGGAGCTCTCGGCGGTGAATAAACTGGCCCTCCCTCCTCCCTCTCTCCTCCTCCTCCTGCTCCTCCTCCTCCTCCTCCTCCTCCTTCTCCTCCTCCTCCTCCTCCCTGGATGTCAGAAATCAACCAGCTCAGGTACGATGTGCCCTTAAAATGGCGCCGGGGGGCCAGGTCGAGCCTGGGGACCAGCGCGATCTGGATTTTGATATGGAGGAAGAGGATGCTCGAACCTTTTTTGCGGATGTTGTTTCAGCCCCTTCGAATGCTAGTAGGCCTGTGGATGTTCTGCAGAATGTGGCGGAGGCCCTTCGCCGCGTGGAGGGCGAACAGTCTCTACCGCTGCCTTCGCACGATGATGGAGGGGCGTCTGACACACCCCAGGGGTATTCCGTGACACGCCCCAGGGGTATTCCGTGACACGCCCCAGGGGTATTCCGTGACCTATTCTTGGGCGTCTCATCCTTGTATTGGTGAGTGCAATTTTTCTTGATGACCCTCTGTAGCGCCATGACAGTCGGTTTTTCAAGACCTCCAACGCGAGGAAAGAAGAGGTGGTGGTGTTCCCGCGGGGGAAAACAAATTCTCTTCCTCCTCCTCTTCGTGCTCCTCCTCTTGCTAGGGTCAAGAAGCTTTCTTGGAATCGCTGGCGAGGCATGCATTAATGACACCCCCGTTACCTAAGCTGAGAGGAGGAGAGGGAGGAGGAGGAGGAGGAGGAAGAAGAAGAAGCATCAACAGAAACAGAAGAGGAGGAGGAGGAGGAGGAGGAGGCGGAGGAGGAGGAGGAGGAGGAGGCAGGGAGGGAGGGAGGGAGGAGGAGGAGGAGAAGGGGAGAGGGAGGAGAAGAGGGAGTAGGAGGAGGAGGAGGAGGAGGAGGAGGAGGAGGAGGAGGAGAGGAGAGGGAGGAGGAGGGGGAGGATGAGGAGAGGACGAAGGAGGTGGAGGTGGAGGAGGAAGAGGAGCAGGGGACAGGAGGAGGAGGAAAAGGTGGAGGAGGAATATGTTTCCCACTAGTGCGCGCCGTGCTGAATAATGGTGGACGGTTATTTCTCCCATCGGATACTGCCTCCTGGGCTACCCTCCGCGCGACAGGAATGTCGAGCTTGTTCGCGCGAAGGTTTGCAATACTAGTCGGTGCATCGGAGGAGGAGGGGAAGGAGGAAGAGTAGGAGAAGGAACAGGTTGTTGAGTAGGAGTAGGAGTAGGAGTCGGAGTCGGAGTAGGAGTAGGAGTTGGAGGAGGAGGAGGAGGAGGAGGAGGAGGAGGAGGAGGAGGGAGGAGTAATTAGGAGGAGCAGGGGAAGGAGGGAGGGCAGAGAAGGAGGAGGAGGGGAGGAGGAGGGGAAGAGGATGGGGGGAGGAGGAGGGGGGGGGAGGGAGGGGAGGAGGGAGGGGGAGGAGGAGGAGGAGGAGGAGGCGTTTCCCAGTAATGCGCGTCGTGCTGAACAATGATGGGCGGTTATTTTTCCCGTCGGACAATGTCACCTGGGCGACCCTCCACGCGAAAGGGATTTCGAGCTTGCTCGTAGGGAGGTTTGCAATGGGAATCGAAGTATCGGATGAGGAGAAGGTGGAGAAGGAGGAGGAGGAGGAGAAGGAGGAGGACGAGGAACGTAATTAGCTCCTTGGCATGTATTTTCGCGAGAGTGTTGCGAGCCCTTGAGCTTTCAGAGTGATAGTGTCAGAGCAATGAGCCTTTGAGAAATTTACCGAACAATGAGTTTCAGAGCAATGAGTTTCAGAGCGGTGAGCTCCAGAGCAATGAGCTTCAGAGCAATGAGTTCCAGATCAATGAGTTTCAGAGCACTGAGTTTCAGAGCAATGAGCTTCAGAGCAATGAGCTTCAGAGCAATGAGTTTCAGATCGATGATATGCAGAGCAATGAGTATCAGAACAATGACATTCCGAGCGCTGAGAGTTTCAGAGCAATGAATTTCAGAGCAATGAGCCTTTGAGAGTTTCAGAGCAATGGGCCTTTGAGGAAGTTCTCGAGCAATGAGTTACAGAGCAATGCGTTTCAGAACAATGAGCTTCATAGCAATGAGCTCCAGAGGAACGAGTATCAGAACACTGAGTTTCAGAACAATGAGTTTCAGAGCAACGAGCTTCACAGCAGCGAGAGTGTCAGTGCAATGAATTTCAGAACGTTCAGCCTTTGAGAGCTTCAGAGCATTATCCTTCTCCTCCTCCTCCTCCCCCTTCTCCCCCTCCTCTTCCTCTTCCTCGTCGTCGTCGTCGTCGTCGCCGGTGTTGTCGTCAGCGGCGGCGGCGGGAAACAATAATTAGTTTTCGATGTTGTCGGGGCCCCAGTCCGTCAATGAGGTCGCCAGAAAAATATGTAGTTTCCCGTTGTTGCGCTTATTTTCAAGACTCTTTGCGGTTATTTTTCGATGCGTCGACCTCTGGAGGTTTGGACAATTTCCTCAGGGCCGTTTTTCCCCCCATCCTGAGCAGTTTTTGTTACGGCCTTGGGGGGCCCACTGATGACCGAGCGCATACTATTCGCAAAGTGCCCACTCGCAAACGTCCGAAATAGCATACACTCCTTCCTCCTTATGTCATAGATCGTAGATCCCCCGCAGCAGATCCATGCCATTCACGAGTAAATCGTTCCTTTGCGAGTCGTGGAACGTGCTTGTCTACAATCGAGGTCCCCCACGAGGCCGAGCAAAATTGCCAAAAAGCCCGGTCCTGCTCCATTTCTTTTTCCGGAGCTTCGGAGATCTCCGTTAGAAGGGAAAAATCACACAGACACAATCAAATCGTCGATGCCTTGGAAAGTATGGGAAGTGGGGGGAAGACGAACGCCCAGAAAATGTGAAAATAATGGGAATCCTGGGATTTGTGTCAATTTATTAGTGTCCCTGGGCCCCTTCACTCTGGGAGTGCGCCTTCCGCCGCCAGGTCTTCAAGTCCAAGTGCCTCGAGATCCACTCGCGCAAGTCGCAGCCGCAGCGCACGAGGACCCTCACCGCCCGCCCCCTCGCCCCCGCTCGCCCCCCGCTCGCTGCCGCGACAGCCACCTCCTCCTCCTCCTCTCCTCCCTCCTCCTCCTCCTCCTCCTCCTTCCTCTCCTCCCTCCTCCTCCTCCTCCTCCTCCTCCTCCTCCTTCTCCTCCTCCTCATCATCATCATCATCCTTCCTTCCCTCGTCCTCCTCCTCCCTCCTACCCTCCTCTTCCTCCTCCTCCTCCTCCTCCTCCTCCTCCTCCTCCTCCTCCTCGTCCTGCTCCTGCTCCTGCTCCTACTCCTGCTCCTGCCCCTCCCTCCTCATCCATGAAGAGGAATCACTTGGAATCAATAGCAGCCGGCCGGCAATCACCGCGCACCGCGGCGAGTGCCAGCCGGCTGCTTCCCCGCGAGCGCAGTGGCGGAGATGCGCGGGCAGCGCAGCCCCAGACCTGCTCGCGTTGTGACCAAACTAGCGACGGGAGGTGTTGCGCTGTCTTCGGCCTCTGGGGGCCCCCGCTGGGCCCCAGGGTCGTCGGCAAACGATTCAGGAGGAGAAACACTTGTGGGAAAGGGTCGGGACATTTGGGGACCGCGTATTGAACAAAACAGGACGTCGCATGTCTGGGGCTGGATGGTTCGAGCAGGATTTGCAGTCTTGCTGTTGGGAAGCGCAGCCCTCAAGGCGCGCCCCGATCGCGCCGCCGCTGGTAGTCGGTGGTCGATACGCCTGTTGGGCCCCTCGTGTCATCCATACACCTCCTTACCAGTTGCACGAACGCGTGGGCCGCAGACTTGATGGAAGCCACCGTGTGTACGCAAGCGCGGGCACCTGCTCCGCTTGTTCCGGGTCAAGTTCTTTTCCGGATCCGTCGCACTTTGGTTGGTGTCGCGATCGAAAATTGTATTGGAGGTGCACCCCGAAGCAGCGACGGCAAAGCAGAGCGGGCATCGACTGCAAATGAGCATGAAGCGTAGGGCGGAAATCTCGGCCCTCCTTGCGACATCGCGCAGAGCATGGCGGTTCCGAAGTCAGGCAGCGCCCCTCGGCCGACCCTCGGCCTCGCGCAGAAGGAGGGGGGTAGGGGGGAAGGGTGGAGGGCTTCTCCGAAGGAGGCTGCTTCGTAGAATGCGCCGGCCTTGTCTGTCGATGCATGGGGCCCACGCCTTCTGAGAAGCGGCCTCCTCCTGAGAACCTCCTCCCCCCTCCCCACCTGCCCGCCTCCTGGGCGCCGCCAAAAGACCCGCTCGCCGCCGCCCGACCGCCATCGAGAACCGCCGCCCGCGCCCGTGACCGCGAGCCGCGGCGCTCGCCGCAGCGCGGCCTGCCGCGCCGCGCCGCACGGCCGCGGCCGGCCAGGCCGAGCCGCGCGCGCGAAGCGCGCGAAGCGCCGGCCGCGCGACCGCCTCTGCGCGATTGGCGCGGGCGCCTCGCCCTGCTGCGCGGGCGCGCCCGCGGCGCGCGGGGTCGGAGCGCGCGGGGTCGGAGCGCGCGCCCGGAGCGCCCGCTGCGGCGCGGCGCGGCGGCGATCGCCGGCCACCACACAGATCGAGCGGGCTCGGAGCGGCTGTGGGCACGCGCCGGCCTATGAGGGCCGACACATCGTGCCGGGGTCGTCCAGACGGCCTCGCATGCCAGCCATCATTCTCGTGGCCTGACCTCGGATTCTGCAGGCCTAGCTGGGGTCGGAGGATGGCTCCGCATCGCCGATGCGGCTCGATGTGGAGCCCGATTTTCTCCACGCGGACGTCGCCGACGCATCGCCGACGTCCCCGATGCATCGCCGATGCATCGGAGATGTATCGCCGATGTATCGGTGATGCGGCTCGATCCTCCGACCCCATCTACTCCGACCCCATCTAGGAGGCCTTTGGATTCTTCATACTTCGGCTGGGATGCGAATCGGAGAAACGTAAAACTCGAGTAAACCGGAACTCGGGGTTGCCGACGTTTTTTGACGAGCGCGTCCTGGAATTTTGGCGGTCTGGTTTCCGTGGGATGTTTGCAGCGGCAGTTCGCGTCAAATTTCTGTTCGGGTCTCGTCATTTTCATGATGGCCCCGTCAGGCCAACCCAAGTCCACCGTACCCGAGTCTCACATCTCCGCAAGGGAAAGCGTCTTCGAAGCACCCTTGCTTCTACGAAGCCTTCTCCCCTCCCCCCTGCCCCCTTGTGCGCGCCGCCAGCCCGCTGCGGCGTGGCCTGACACCAGATTCGCTATACAGTGGTGGCTGAGATGCGAAATAGTAGGGCAGAATGCTGAAATTTCCGCCTCAGGAGGGTGAGGCAGAAATCCGCGCGGGCCGCCGAACGTTTCTGTCCATGCTGTTTCTTTATTTCTTCCTCTCTGTGCCCGAGGAAGAAAAAGACACTTTCGACGGTCCGCGCGGATTTCCTGGATCTGCGCTGGGCCCCCCCCTGGCGGCGCCTCCAGCGCCGCCCCCGGCTCGCTCCGCTTACAGGGAGGGGGGTCCAGTGCCGATCAAAGAAATGCGCGTGGATTTCCGAAAGTTCATGCTCCCAAGCTAGTTCGAAGCGGATGGCTGGTCTGGGGTGTGATGGGCCTGTCTTCTACCACCACCACCACCATAAGTTGGAGGGGGGAAGGAGGTGGAGGATGAGAACCAGGACGAAGAGGAGGCCACACCCCTCCCAGACCCCTGGAAGCTGTGCTTTTGTCACAACGCCGATCTCCCAGAGGTCTGGACCCCTTCCCCAGGACCGGCTCCTCCTCCCCGGTCGTTTCTGGACCGCCCCCAGGCCGGGGATCACGCTTGTCCCGAATCGGTTCCGCCTCGTCCCATTTTGCACACTTCCGTACGCACAGTAGATGCGGTTCAAGCAGGCAGGTATCGCCACAGCGCCAGCCCGTCGCGATCTCTTGTTACCACGCGAGGGGGGTTCCTGGGCTTTCAGCGAGGAAGGGGGCAGGTACCGTGCTGTTTCTTGACCGCCCCGAGGCCCTCCTCAGAGGCCGCAAACAGCGACAACCCTCCCGTCACGATTTCTTGCTACGACGCGAGGGGGCCTGGGCTTTCGGCGCGAGGAAGCGGGGGCAGGCACCGGGCTGCGAGCGGAGAGAGAGAGGGCGCCCGACCAGGGCGTCCGCAGACTTCCGGGACGCCAGCAAGGCGGCCGCTGCCCCCTCCCGGCGGCGGCGGCGGCGGCGGCGACGACGACGACGGCGACGGCGACGACGACGACGACGACGGCGACGGCGACGGCGACGGCGACGGCGACGGCGACGGCGACGACGACGGCGAGGTTCGAGGTTTCGGGTTTTGGGGCGTTTCCCTTGGCTCTCGGCGGCTTGCCCAGCCTCGGGATGCGCTCCAGCGGCTGCGCCTCGCCGCGGGCGCTCCGCGGGGGCCCTCAGGTCGTCCCGGACGGCCGCCACCCAGTTGTGACCCGAGAGCCACGGGTGGTTCGGCGGCGGAATCCGAGCCCCACCCTCGCCGATCCACGATTCGGGCAACTCGATGGGCGGCGGCGATGTGGTTCAGAATGCGCCGAAGACGTGGCGACATCCGAACCCTGCCTCTGCGTCCCCTCGACTCAGGGGACTCGATGGCTGGTGGGGGTGGGGTTGGGATGTCGCCACCTAGCAAAGGCTGCGGTGGCGGCGGCGGCGACGGCGCAGCGCCGGCGAAGGCGACGGCGAATGCGGCGACGGAGGCGACCACTACGATGACGGCCACAGCGCCAGCGGCGACGGCGCAGCGTCGGCGAAGGCGACGGCTAATGCGGCGACGGCGAGCGCGGCGACGGCGACGACCACTGCGGCGACGGCGACAGCGCCAGCGGCGACGGCGAGGGCGGCGGCGACGACGGCCACGGCTGCCCTGGGCCCTGCTCTTGGGGAGCTCGCGGGCCATGTGGCGCAGTATCCTTCCTCGCTCCTCCTCCGCCTCCTCCTCCTCATCCTCGCTCTTCGAGAAGGCCTGGAATTGTGCCGCCGAGATGTCCACATTGTGGATGTTCCAGTGCTCCATCTGAAATCCAGAGCGCCGATTCTCGATCGTCACCTGGAGGACCCTCCCCGGAACGTGCGTGCAGTGTGAGATCCTGAGCCCCTCCACTTTGGGCACGGCCGTTAGCAGCCCGCCCTGCCGCGGTGCCGGGGGTGGTGCCACGAAGATGTGGTGCGTGTCGCCCACTCGCTGAAAGAGCTCACCGAGAGCGCTAACATCTGCATGCGTCTCCTGCACTCCCAAGATCGTGGGAGGGCCCCGGAGAAGATCAACAACAATATTGACCTTAGTGTGAAGGTTCGTCACCTGGTAGTGCGCCAGTGCTCTGGCGTTCCAGGAGGCCACTCGTACCGACGTGGCCTCCAGGAGCGTATTACCCTGACCACTCGATGTCACGCAGGCCCAGGGCCTGCTCCGCGAGCGTGTCCATCTCGGCGCGGGACGTGCCCTTGTCTGCCAGCAGCCCCAGGTTCCAGACGATTCGAGCTGCGCAGGCGGCTCCCATGGGACAAGATGGTCGTGCTCGCCGGCGATTTCAACATCTGCGACGTGATGGGGGAGGAGGCGTCCGTGGTGGCCGGCCCAGAGCTGCAGCGTCGCCGACGCACATACCGCCCTGGGGAGGCAGGCTGGCGGCGGCTGTGGCGACACCTCACTGAGGTGGATGGTGAGCGGCCGACTTCCTGGCACGCACCGGCACAGCAGGCCACCAAGATCGACAGAGTTTTCGTCTCGACACCGCAGTGGCTACTCCTGAGGGGCTGGCAGACCATGCGAGTGTGGGTGGAGCCGGAGGAGCTCTTCCGGCAAGGCACGAGTGACCATAGCCCCATCAGCGTCACGTGGACCAAGCGGGGCAAGCAGGACACGTGGGTGCAGAAACCGATACCCCAGCACATCGTCGCCGACCCTCTCTACGCCAAACTGGTGAAGGCTTCCGAGGAGGAGGCGACGCTCGACGAGCTGCCTTTTCCCACGCAGTGGCGGATCGCCACGCGCTGCAGGCACGCTGCCGCGCGGGCCGCGCGCAATGCCATGCTGGCCACGCGGGGGACCGAACCGCCGCATATGGCCATGGCCATGCGGACATTGGCTCGCGCCGTGTGGCGGCATCCATGGACTGCGCAGCTGGTCCGGGTGCTCGGTGGCCCTGTTCGCATTCTGGACCCCACGTCGTTCCAAGCTGCTTTCGATGAGCATCATCGGGCTGCGTCCCTTGCGCTCGCCGAGCGGCTGCGGCAGGAGCAGGGGCCATCTCGCCCAGGGGAGGTTAGTCGCGCGCGGGCCACCCTCCAGTACGCAGCCCGGCGGTCCAGGCTGTGGGACCCCAGAGGGCGCAAGCGCTTCATCGGGGCCCTCGCCGACGAGCACGGCGTTGCGGAAGCTCCTGCAGACAAGGCAGCCGCGCTGGCGCGGCACTGGGCACCTGTATTTCAGCGCTCGAGTGCCGTGCCCCCTGGCGGAGAAGAGTATATTATTGGCAAGTTCACCCTGGACATTTCTTTCCGAGATTTACAGCCGCCGACGTGCCGCATGATCCAGGAGTTCCTTGGCAAGGTCAAGAGCTCGGCGCCAGGGCCAGATGGCCTGCTCTACGATGCTTGGGCCGTGGGCCGCGGGCCATTGGTCCTCCTCGACTGCTTGCATTGGTTGTGCGGTGGCAGCACCATGCCGCTGGCCTTCACGGCTTGCTTGGGTGTGTTCTTGCCTAAGGGATGCCAGGCAGAGGAGGGCACAGGGGTGTGTTCCGCCAAGGACACGCGGCCGCTGGGGTTGAAGAATACGTCGAACAAGATCGTCGCAGGGTGTTTCGCCACCGTGGCCAAAGCTACCACGGCCAAACTTCAGAATGGGTTTGTCCGAGGACGCTCGCTGATGAATAACATCGTGGACTTGGACACAATGGCTCGGGTGGGGAGCCTTCTCCGGGAGCCGCTCGCGAAGTGGAACATCCTGCCCGCCGACTGGCTGCCGATGTTGCTCGCCTACGACTTCCAGCAGGCGTTCCCTAGTATCCGGCAGGCGTGGCTGCACCAATGCCTGCGGCAGCTGCAGGTCCCCGAGGGGCTCCAGCGCCTCGTGCACGGCCTGCACATGTTCAGCTTCAGTTGGTTCTGCGATGGCGGTGTGGATTCACCGCTGTATGCTATGCTGTCAGGTGTCGTACAAGGATGCCCATTCAGCGGTGCATTGTTCCTGGTGTCGTGCAACCCTTCCCTGTTACACATGGAGCAGGCTGTATGTAGAGCACAAGCATCTCGGAGCAGCCCGGGCATGCGCAGACGACGTGGGAGCCGTGCTCTTCTGCTCCCAAGCCGTCGCGAGCATGGCCCGCATCTTCCGGAGCGTCCAGCATTTCGCGCAGCTGGTCCTCAAGGCCTCGAAATGCCACGTTGTGCTCCTGGGCGAGGTCCGGGGCGAACTGGTCGAGCGCCGCGCGCGCCATTCTGGCGGCGGCCGAATTCAGCTGGGGCGATTTCGTCATTGAGCCTGTCCTCCTCTACTAGGGCTGCTGGCTTGGCCCGGCGGCTACTGAGGAGATGAACCTGGCGGAGCCGCTGGCCAAGCTTAAGCAGCGCGTCCAGGAGATAGCCGGGTCTGGCGCGGACGCGCTGGGCTGCGCAACCTACTACACGACCAAGGGGCTCCCCGTGCTGGGCTACAAGGTGCAGCTCTACGACGTGCTGTGGGCAACAGCGGAGCGGGAGCGCAATTTCTTTGCTTCCCTTTGGCGCACCACGCCGAGCATCGCGGGTTGACTGGAACTCGGCGCGTGGGGAGGACCAAAGTTCCCAAGCATGCTGGCCATGGCAGCTGCGGCGCGGAGGAGGACAACCACATGCACGGCCACGTCGTGGCGGGAGATGCTGCCCAAGCTTCGCGGGGCCTTCCGGGAGCACGGCATGCTGGGCTGGCGCGGGCCGGAGCGGCTGGCGCCTCCGCTCTGGGCCTCCCCAGCTTTAGCGAGGAGACTTGAGGAGGCTGCGCTGGGCTTCCGGCACCACCCGCGCCTGCAGGCGGCGGGCCGAGAGTGCCGCCGCCTCCTTCCTCCTCCGCCCCCTCCCCCTTCCTCCCCCTCCCCCTCCCTCCGCCCCGCCACCGCCTCGCGCACGCGGCACGGCCTACAGCGCCGCCTCACGCAGCTTTTCGCGCAAGCCCTCTACCCCCCGGACCTCGCCACAACGCTCGAGGCTCGGATTCGTAAGTGGTTCGTGCCCGACCTATGCTCAGTCGTCTCGTGGGCCGGGGTTCGTGCAGATCTGGGGCCACTCCCACACGCGTGGTGCTGCGCTGCGCTCAAGACGTGGCTAGGGGGTTTGGACTACATCACACAGGATGCGGAGGCCCCAAGGAGGGTGCATCATGGGGTGCCCAGGAGCACCCGACACCCTGACCCACTACGTGAACGAATGCCCGTGCGCGGAGCGCATCGTAGCAGAGGCTCTAGGTAGGGAGGTCCCCTCTTACCCTCTCCACCGCCTGGGCCTCATCTCGCCTACTCACCCGCGCAACTTTGCTTTCGTAGTTGCGTACTTCCACGGCCACCGCCTGGTAGCCCACAGAGGTCCCCTAGGAAGGGGGGTGCGTCCATCTGAGATCGCCTCCTTGGCCGAGGGCGTGAAGATTGCGATGAAGATGCCCCTCCGGGGACCAAACGAGTTCCCGTGGGCTCAGCGCTGAGGCGTCTCGAGGCGACCCCTCTTTAGGCACGCTCGACCTCCTCCTCATCCTCGCTCCTCGCTCCTTTTACGTTGCATGGGCTTTGCCTATCAAAGGCGCAGCGTCTGAAACTCCGCGCTCCTCCTTCCTTTCTCCTCCCTCTCTGACTCTCTCTCGCTATCCTCCTGCTGCGGGGTTCTCCTTCTTCTCTTCCGTTCCTCCTCCTTCTCGCTCCCTGCGCCTCCTTATTGTTCACTCTTCTCCCCTTTTCCTCCTCGTCCTGCTCCTCTTTTTTCTTGCTTCTAATTCTTGGCCAGGCTTGCGTGTAAGTCCTCGTTTGGGGCCGAGCTTGAGAGGTAGCGCGTGGACCAACGCCTTCAGGAGGATGTAAGACGGCGAGGAGCGAGACGACGGAGCGATGGGCAATAAGGCTGGATTAGGACGACAAGCGAGGATGGCGATGGTGGTGGTGATGATAATGGTGATGACGGCGATGAAGGTGGCGGCGAGACCGTCACATGTGAGACTGTCACATGTGACACTTGTCGACTTCACCTCTTCAGGAAGAGTTCTTTTGGAACCCATTCGTGCATTCTTGGGGCTGTCCTGTGCTCCTGCGGTGCAGTCTTGGGGGTCCGTCGGGGCCGGCTTGGAGTTTTAGGCCGTCCTGGAGCTCTCTTGGGCCGGCTTGGGGCTCTCTTGGGCCGCCATGGGGGCCTTTGAGCCGCATGGGGGGGTATCTTGGGGCCGTCGTGGAGCCATCTCGGAACCGTCTTCGGCCGTAGAATGGCCTTAGGCCGTCTTGGCGGCCTCTTTGTCCGTCTTGGGACCGCCGTGGAAGTTTCTTGGGCCGTATTGAGCTGACGGACGCCTGGCAAGTCGAGAGTGCGAACATTCTTACAAAGTTTTCTTTGGAAAGTCGATGATTTGGGCTTCTTCGGGTCCTGCCGGGGGTCCTCTGGTAGATTCCATGTCAACGTACTCCCCCTACCCCCTGATCCAGCACCCCCCTCTCGCACCCCACCCCCTGACGTCGGAATTGCCGTATGTCGGCTGGTTTTCCAAATCAGACTTGTGTCGGCAATGCACCCCAGACGGTGCGAAATAGCAGAGCAGCAATTAACGCCTCGGAAGAGTAGGGCAGACATTTACGCAGCAGTATGGCGGAAACAGCGACGGCCAAGTAGCGCTGACATCGACGTCAGAGAAGCTTGAAAAGTAGGGCAGACATTACCGCCCGACTTTCGATATCGCCCAAAGTATGGCGAATCCCATGTCAGGGCCTATCTCCGCGTCGTCCATCCCACCAAGTTGGGTGATCGTTTTTTTACTCATTCTTTTACCGATCGGCGTGGGCCCTCGCACCCCCCACCCCCTGCCCCCTTCCCATGGAATAGATCTTGGCTGTTTTTTGGCGCCTGCTTCGAGCAGGTGGGGTCTCCCCCAGAGGACGCACGGTTCCAAACAGCCGCCTTAAGCAGAGGTCTGAAGCCAGACCCCCCCCCTCACCCCCCCTTCCGCCCAATGTCGAATCGCCGAATCAGAAAACGCTGACAAGCGCGGGTGGGGGCGCGCCGCGGCACGGTCCAGAACTGCGCGGAAGGCCATCCTGTTTTCTAGCGACGTCTCCGCCCGCGGCATGGACTACCCCGACGTCACTTTCGTCTTACAGTGCGGTGCTCCCAGCGACAAGGCCAGGGATGGAGGAGGAGGAGGAGGGCGACGAGGGCGAGGGCGAGGAGGAGGAGGAGGAGGAGAACCAGTGTTAACCCAAGGTTCATTACAGATGTTGGAAGACACCTTCCCCCCAAGCTCCCTCGTCATAGGCCCTTACAATAATTCAGTTCCACTGAGGGAAGTGCCCGGTTGGGAGACAACCATCTGAAGTTCTGCAGCGTGCCAAAGCACCATTCTCGGAACTTCAACGCCGCTAATCAACCTGACTGTTGCGTCTTGACGATCCTGAATCGTGCAAGAATCCTCTTCCTGGGATTTCAACACCGACAATATATCGTAACTGTTACGTCCTGGCCATCGCGAATCGCTCCAAAAGACAGTTTCTGGTTCGCTAGCCATGGGAACTCGTAAAACTCTTGCCATGCTTCAGGATTTAGGACGAATGCGCCCGGCGCTAAGGCGAGAGCCGCATTTTGAAAACGAGCCGCCCTCACCACGAGTCAACTCGATTGTCGCGTCTTGCGTGCCAGAACACCAGTCTTGGGACTTCATCACCGCGAAACAACGTAACTGTTGCGCCCTGACAATCCTGAATCGCTCGAATATACAATGTTTGGCACGTTCACCATGAGTAACCGTCAAAGGCTTGCAAGGTTTTAAACTGAAAGTTCGCGGCGCTAAAGCGAGAACCACATTTTGAATACGAGCCGCCCTTAACCCGCGAAGCTTTCGCGAATGTTTAGGGCGAGTGTGCGCGGTGTTAAGGCGAGAGCCACACTTTGAAAACAACCCACCCTCAGTCCGTGAAGCTCTTGCTATGTTTGAAGACGAGTGCGCTAAGGCGAGAGCCACATTTAGAAAACGAGTCGCCTTCAATGTGTGAAACTTGTGGAACTTGTTCAAACGATTGCGCGTGGCGCTAAGGCGAGAGCGGCATTTTGGAATCGGGCACCCTCCATCTGTGAAGTTGTTGCCAGCTTCTCAGCTTGAGGCTCATAAGCGGTAAGGGAGTCTCAGGCGAAATCCCCGGCCCGCTCTTCCGACTGGCTTCGGTGTGCGACAGGGAGGAGTTTCAGCCATCAGGAAAAGGAGGAGGAGGAGAAAGAGAGAGGAGGAGGAGGACGAGGAGGAGGAGGAGGGGGAGGAGGAGGCTGATGGGATGAGGAAGTGACGAGAAAGAGGAGGGGGGCCAGTGCAAACCTAAGACTGATCAGTGATGTTACGATGAACTTTCCCTTTCGCGCTCCCTTGCGCATGGGCCCTTACAAGGGTTCGTTTTCACGGAGGGAAGTGCCCCGTCGGAAGACAACCGCTTGACATTTGGAAGTGCACCAGGACGCCATTCTTGGGACTTCAGCGCCGCGGATCACCGTTGTTGTTGCGTCTTGGCGGTCCTGAATCGTGCGATCATGTCGCTCCTTGGGGGTTCCACTCCGTGAGTCAACGCATGTTGGTGCCCTGGCAGTCCGCCATCGTGTCAAAACCGTTTCTGGGACGTTAGCCATGTGCGCGGCGCCAAGGCGAGAATCACAGATGATGATGTTGTTGTTGTTGATGATGATGATGATGAGGAGGAGGAGGAGGACGAGGAGGAGGAAGAGGAGGAGGAGGAGGAGGAGGAGGAGGAGGAGGGGGAGGGGGAGGAGGAGGAGGAGGAGGAGGAGGAGAGGAGGCGGAGCGAGGGAGGAGGAGGAGGAGGAGGAGGAGGAGGAGGAGGAGGAGGAGGAGGAGGAGGAGGAGGAGGAGGAGGAGGAGGGGGGGGATCCGTAGCCATTTTGGCTCAAGCCATTTTGGCTCAAGTATCCATTTTCTCGAGGTGGCTTCAGAGACCAAGCCTGTCGGGCCCCCCAGACGGCTGCCCAGCCAGGGGCCCCTTCCATTTTCTTTCCTCTCGCCTGGCCAAGCCAGCACGAGAGAACAGCATCAGACACGATACCGCACATCGTGACACATCTTTTGCCTCACCATACTGGGCCATGGGCAAACAGGGGACACATGGAGCCCCACGTGACTTTTCTTGGGGGTGCAACGAGTGCAAAATCAGTACCAGTCGTAATATCAATTGGTGCCGGCGCTGCGGTTCCCATTGGACGAAAACGGCTACGGGTTGGTCGCACTTTCACGGAGGCGCAGGAGGTAGCCCCCGAGGGAACGGACTACAGGGCGCATATAAATGTGATGGCAAACACAAGGGCAAGAAAGGCAAAGGCAAACATGGAGGACAGGCACAATCAGAAGGTCGGGATGCGCGTGCTGTTTTTCCTGGCAGGGATGACTCTAATTCTGTGGCATCAAATCCCTTCAAACTTGGTGTATCTGACGAACTCAGCGCCATGGACCTTTCCAGCCCAGACAAGGAGAAGAAACACAACGCTGGGAACATTAGACATCACATCCAAGTACTCCAGCATGCCTATGACACGCTCGCCAAAGGGGAAGATGGAGCCGAGGGTGAGGCAGCCAAGGCCCTTCAACGTAAGCTCCAAACATTCCGAGAAGAGCGTGATCATGCAAAGTCCGCCAGCCAGAGACTCCTCGTGGCCAGCGGGAAAATGTCCAAGTTCGAGAAACAGGTTGAGAGCCACACCAAGGCGGTGGGCATGCTTGAAGTCAAAGTCCAGAATGCAGCAGCACACCTACGTGAGCAAGAACGGGAGCTGGAGATCGCGAAGCAGAGCCTGGCTGACGCCAAGAGGAAGCTTCAGGATGTCAACACGGAGATGGCTGTACACAAAGCGGCTGTGGCAGCCGCGAGTGAATCGGGAAGTCGGCCTTCGTCTCCCAAGCCCTCGCCCAAGCAGATCTTCGCGCTCACCCCCGACGAACTGCAAGCTGTCCTCGCCACACGGGCGGCATCTATTTCTGGTTATGATGAGAGCCATATCAACAATGCCATGCAGATATTGGGACCACTTGTCGGTCCACTTCCATCAGATGCAGCAGATGTACCCGTCCCAGCAGAGCCACCAGCAGCTGGCGCTCAAGGTGCAGACGCAGGACAGGGTGATGCCAGAGGTAGTGCAGGAGATCGAGCTGGCCGTGCCCGCTCTGAGGCATCCCGCAGCCCCCACAGGAAGCCCCTTGCTGAGGCCCAGGCTACGAAGCCAGGCCCCAAGGGTGATGCGTCCAGGGGAGATGGCAGCCGTTTGCCTGCTAAGAAGGATGGGTAGCCCATCCACCAGTTGGGCCCACCATGAGACTCCTCCCACCTGTCGGCCTCCCGACCCTCCCCGCCCAGTCTCAGGGGGCCCCGCTTCTCACATTTGTACTGTCAATTCCTCAGGCTTGACCAGGGCCCTGGACCACCTGAAACAGTCTCGCGCCCATATTGTCTTAGTCCAGGAGCATAAGCTCAGCCAGGACAAGATAGGCGCCGCCAGCTAAACTGCGTTGAAGTTCGGTTGGGGCAGTTTTTGGGCCCCCGCCCTGACTACCGCCAAGGGGCGCCAGTCGGGGGGGGCTGCCATTCTGCACAGAAGGTATCTTGATTTGTGGCAAGAAACGGGACGAGGGATCGTGGCCCCAGGGAGGATCCCCCACGCGTTTTGCCGCATTCAGAGCTTGGGCGTCATCTCGATTTACGCCAACTGCTGGGTCTCAGGAGCTGGCTTGGGGAAGCGTAATCTTGATCTCTGTCAACGACTGGGAGGGCATGTTCTTACCCGAGGGATGCCGTTCGTGGCCGGTGGAGGTTTCAACATGACGCCTGGCGAGATTAGTATTGGTTGCGAGCCAGAGCGCTTTGGAGGAGAGAGGATCTTCGACCCGAGCGTCCACGCCTGTTCTATTGAAGACTCGCGCCGCACTATTGATTTCTTCATACTCAGCAAGATACTTGTCAAAGCTTTCCTCTCCATCAAGGCTGATCTTTCTGGTGGTGTTTTCCCGCGCAAGCCAGTGGATTTGTGTTTAACGACGGAGACGTACTTTTTGCAGGTGGAACGTCTTGAGGCGTGCCAGAAGCTTCCAGTCCAGCTCCCAGTTGGACCACTTCTACCCCCACCTTCTTATCAGGGCCTCCAAGATAGAATTGCTGCTGCGCCCTTCTCCAAAGGGGACAGGTACTGTGCCCCCGCCCGCTTGGAGAAAGCTGAGCTCGAATCAACCCTCAACCAGGTGTACTCGGAGTGGTGCTCCAAGGCCTGGGGAGAGCTCGAGCAGGTTCCCCATGGCCCCCCCATGTCGAGCAGAGAGGGGGGCCGCCCCTACGAAGTCAGCCAGGTCGACCTCATGACCCTTTTGATCACCAAGGACAACCCCAGGAGATCCGAGGCCCGTTGTGTTGGATGGCTGGCACGAAGATTAACCGAGCTTCGGCCCCTCCTTGCGAAGGCCGAGAGAAGGCGCACGTTGGGCGCGCACCTCCTCATTCGGCACGCCAGGGGAATTCGCAAGAAAGGAGGCCCTTCCACCAGATTTTGGCCTCAGGGCAGAGAGCTTGCGCACATTATTATTGCGAGTGCCCTTAGCCCGATCTGGGGCGCCTACTGCAGCTGGGACGAGGGAGATTTGGATTTCAGCAGCATCGACTGGGCCATTGCCCAACTGTCGGAGCTGGAAACCCACTGCCTCGCTAGAGAACGCACGCAGCAGAGGAAGGATTGGACTAAGTGGTGTGAAGAAGCTCTAGCTGGAGGTGCCTCTCGGGCCCACCGGTTTACCAAGCTTGCCAGTGAATTTAAAGAAGATCTGGTCACATGTCATGAGGGCAGCCCCACCGTCTCCTTTTTCAACCGGTTCAGCCACCAGATGAGTATCTGGAAAGAGGCGTGGGGAGCGAGCCAGACTAGCCCCTTGGTCATAGACGAAGAAAAAGATTTGGACACCCCCCCCCCATGGCCCGATGTTGAAGAGATAAGGAGCCTGCCGAGGAGTTTCAAAACGGCGACCATCGCCATCGACTGATTTCATCCCCGACATGTTGCCCTCATTGGGGACGAAGGACTCAGGGTCCTGTCGGGGAGTTTTACCTGTATGAATATCCTCGGCAACAGTCCTGAGGGATTCCGTCATCTCATC